TTTTTGTCTTTGCTTCTGTTAATGTGGTTTATTACGTTTATTGATTTTCGTATGTTGAACCACCCCTGCATCCCTGGGATGAAGCCTACTTGGTCGTGGTGAATAATCTTTTTGATGTGTTGCTGAATTCGGTTTGCCATTATTTTGTTGAGGATTTTTGCATCAATGTTCATTAAGGAGATTGACCTATAGTTCTCCTTTTTGGAGGTGTCTTTGCCTGGTTTTGGGATAAGTGTAATACTAGCTTCATAAAATGTGTTTGGCAGTTTTCCTTCCCTTTCTATTTCATGGAACAGTTTAAGGAGGGTTGGTATCAGTTCTTCTTTAGAGGTCTGATAGAATTCAGCAGAGAATCCATCTGGTCCTGGACTTTTCTTTTTGGGGAGACTCTTGATTGCTGCTTCAATTTCATTTTGTGTTACAGGTCTATTCAGGTGATTAATTTCCTCTTGGTTCAGTTTTGGATGATCATATGTATCTAGAAATCTGTCCATTTCTTTTAGATTTTCAAATTTATTTGAATATAGGTTCTCAGAGTAGTCTCTGATGTTTAATTAATAGTTCTTCGGTTTTTCCTTTAAATTACCATTTCATCTTCAAGTTCTGAGATTGTGTCTTCTGTTTGTTCTGTTCTGCTGGATTGGCCTTCCATTTTGTTTTGCAGTTCTATTTCGTTCTTTTTTCTGAGATTTTCCATATCCTGGCAGTTTTCCTCTTTAATGTTGTCTGTTTTTGTCCTTAGTTCATTTATCCGTTTATTCATTGTGTTCTCTCTTTCACTTTGGTGTTTATACAGTGCTTCTATGGTTTCCTTTATTTCTTCTTTTGCTTTTTCAAATTCTCTATTTTTGTTGTCTTGGAATTTCTTGAGTGTCTCCTGTACATTTTGGTTGACCCTATCCAGTATCATCTGTATAAAATTCTCATTGAGTGCCTGTAGTATGTCTTCTTTTAAATTATTCTTGTGGGCTTCATTGGGTCCTTTGGCATAGTTTATCTTCATTTTGTTGGAGTCTGGATCTGAGTTTCTGTTCTCTTCATTCCCCTCTGGTTCCTGTAGTAATTTTTTGCTGTGGGGAAACTGGTTTCCCTGTTTTTTCTGTCTTCCTGTCATTGTCTTTGGTGTTGTTACTGTCCCTGTACTGTGTGCAATTAAGTATTTTCTGGCTTGTAATAATAACAATGGTAATATTTAGAATGGAAGGGTGAGCTGAGATGGAAAGCAAGAAGTTAAAGAAAAGGGGAAAACAAATATACAGACAAGAGGGAGAAAGCAGAACAAGGTATCAGACAAGAAAGTTTCAAAGGTATAAACAGGGAGTGTTAGTGTACTAATTGACAGTAAGCTGAACAGACATTAGAGAGACAGAGAGAGGATTGAAAATCAAAGATTAAAAAATAAGTAAATGAAAGAAATATCTATATATAAAAATGAATTAAAATAAAATGGAAAATAGAAAATTAAAAAAAAAAAAAAAAAAACCAAAAAACTTCCGAGTTTATATGCAATGCAATTTCAGTCTTAATAATTTGGGTGTCCGTCTCAATCTCCAGTCCTGGAGTTGGTGCCTCAGATGTTGTTCTGTAGTTGTCTCATCAAAGGGGATGCATAAAGTAGAACAAAACTACACACTCACACACACAAAAAAAAAAAAAAAAAAAGCCCCACCTAGTGTCCCAAGTTCAAATGCAATACAGTTTCAGTAAGTTTTTCGGCTTGCAGGTGTAATTCGGTTGTTCTCTCATCAAAGGTAGGGAGAAAAAGAAAAGAAAAGCGTCTGGAGACAGTTCTGAGAGTGGTATCTGCAGCTGTGGCTTGCCTGCCCGCTGCTGTCAGCCTGCTGTCAGCCTGCTGTTGCTGGAGGCGTTGTTTATGCAGATCTCTGGGATGAGCTTAGCACTCACCTGGCCCTGCAGGCTTTGTTTGCTCAGAGTTTTCCTGTGCAGGAGCCTCTGCTACCCAAGCACTGGGAAAGGTGACACTGCTCCCGTGTTGTCACGCCTGCGTGTTTATTTACAGTTCTTGTGGGAGGTGGGTCTTCCTCCCTCTCCTCTGAAGTTTTCCTCCCACTGCCACTTTCAGAAGCTTTCCTGCTCCTGCTTACTGGGCGGTGCTGCTGCTCCTGCTCCTGCTGGCGGCCATGTTTGTTTACAGTTCACGTGGGAAGTGGGTCTTTCCTCCTCTCCTGTGGTTTTCCTCCCTCCTCCACTCTTACAAGCTTCCCGCTCCTGGTTGCTGGGCGCGCCCCCACTCCCGCCAGAGGCTCTCCGGCCGCCCGGCTTGTTTATTTACAGTCCCGGGAAGGATTCCCTTCCCCCAATCTTCAGCGCTCAGGGCGCCCCACCCTCTTTCCAGCGTGTCTTAACTGTTCTTATTGCTTATTACTCAGTTTCTCTTTTTTTTCCCCTGGTGGAGGTCAGTCTGTCCAGGGAGCTATACTGCTCTGGCCCAGGCTTGTCTGTGAGGCTACCGCAGTACCGCGAAGCTCACCTGGTCCGTGTCTTCCCAGTGGGTGCCGGCCACTGGCGGCCCCAGGGGCCCTCCTTGTTTCTCCTTTTAACGTGGAGTGGAGATTCTCTGTGCCGGCTGGAGGTGTTGCGGGGTCAAAGTTATGCCTTTTTCAGTGATTATGCCTGCAAAGTGTGTCTCCAGCGTCTCTCCAAGATTTCACTATAGGAGGCTCGCTTTCTGCTTCCTACCTCTAGCCGCCATCCTGGAAAATCCAGAGTCACCTTTTTTAGATGTCTTTCCTTCTACCTGGTTTGGGTCTGGCAGAGTTGGTAATTCTTGTTTTCCCACTGTGTTCCAGAGCATTTACCATACTGCATGGTCACAATTTATTTTTCCTCTCACAACCACCAGACAGAGCTCCAGAGAATATAGATTACATGAAAAACTATACGTAAAAGAAACTGATTGTTTGGCTAACCGTAGGAAGGCAGCCCATCACCTGTTACATTTGCTGTAGGATTTTGTAAGTCCATTGAATTCCCTGTGTCTGCAGGTCCTATCTGATCTGCACTGCCACTGCCACTGCCACCACCTCAGACATACATAGGGGAGGCAGTCAGGCCTGGAAGGGCAGCTACAAGCAACGGAAGATAGGCCTTCTAGTTTCAGATAAGAAAATAGAGCCCCCAACTCCAGGGTGGAAGTAACATGCGTGGAATTAAGTTACTTTTAGTTCCTGACAGTGCTTTGGAACCAGTGCAGTGTTTCTTCATCTACCAGCACAGTATTACACAGCTCATCAGTCAGTCCTGTGTTTGAATTCCATCTTTACCCCTTAGTAACTATTTGCAATCTTAGATGACATTATCAGCCTCCCCATTCCACAATTTTCTTATGAGTACAGTATCTGGCAACTTAACTGTACTCAGTAGAACTTGGTGATGTTATTGCTACAGTTTGATTATATTGTGAAGTCTTCCTTAGAGTGCATACTTTAGATAAAAGATTGAAATATTAAGTGATGGTCTAGTCACTTAATTGGATTGCTTGTCAGTATTTCCTCCATCCCAGCTACCATTTGATGGGCATTTAATTTGTACCAGCATTTGGTTAAACAGTTCACCTATTTATATTCATTTGCACCCCCCAATTCTCCTATGAAATAGACTTTATTATCTCCATTTTGCAAAAGAAGAAATAAGGTTGAAAGAGATGGACATACTAGGGTATGTTTTCCTCCATCTGTAAAATGGGAATAGTAATAGTTTCTACCCTCATGAGATAGTTCAGACAACTAAACAAGACAAACCATTTAAAGGGTTTTGCACAATGTTTAACACAGTTCTTGATAATATTAGTAGCTATTATCATCATTCTACATAAAAGTCAGAAAATGGACTCCTGTTCCTCCTTGCTTTCTCAGGATTTTTTCTTTCAGGTCCTTCATGGTTATTGGGTGCCTAAGAGAGTGTTTTGAATTTTAACTATTGCAGTTATGGGTATCTATCCATCCCCACTATATCAAGGTGCTGGTCTCCTGCCCAGGAGGCAGCAAACACTTTTGTAAAACACCAAATGGTAAATATCTTGGGCTAGGGAACTATACCTGCTCTCTTTCACATAGTCTTTTTTTTTTTCTTGGTACCCATTAAAAATGTAAAAACCCTTCTTGACTTGAGAGTCACATAAAAATGTATGCAGGACCTGGTTTGCTGACTCTTGTTCTCTCTGACCCTATGCTGTAACATGGCAAAGTTTTGAGTCCTGAGGTTGCTCTGTGCCATCACTCAGGCCAAAAAATGACAGTAGGAAAACAGTAAGTTTCAGTGTTAAAAATGAAGTCTAGTTGAAAGATAGTATGATCTTTTTTCCCCACCATATATAAGGTGCTTTTAAAGTTCCATTCCTCAGACCAAGACAGGCTTATGAAAGAATCCATTAGCACCAGTTTGACAAATACATTGACTTAGACAAGCTCTCTGCCTATGATCTTACTCCAGATTCACTTGGAGCTTCAAATTGTAATTTTAATTTTAAATTCGTGGGGTTTTACACCATCAGGTCTCAAGTCTGGAACAGTCATGTTTTATGAAAATAGTGTCTGTTGCTGTGAAGTAGAGCTAACTATAATGAACATGAGCCTGACACTTTTTCATAGCAAAAAACAAAAATGCAGGCACATTCTTCCTGAAATGACAGTATTAAATTGCAAGTGACAATGATAAAGCAAATATTTAAGTTCACAGCTAAATGTAAAATGTAGATTGCCATGCTTGTAAAATGTAATTGCCAGGGAGAGGGTGCCAATTCATCATTCCTTAAAGCTGATTCTCATTCCAAGAGAAAAAAAACTTCAAACAAACTGCTTTCTGACTTCTTTAAAATCCTGCATAAGTAAGCTGTATTTATCAGATACCATCTTGGTCTTTGAGATGTTCACAGGTGGGGATGTCTCCTGTGCGTACTTATTCCTTCCATATAGGGCCTCACTAAGGTGGTTTCTTCTAAGCTGACATTTTGCTGATGCAGTGGCTTCATTTATCCTTAGGAGAGTGCCAGTGATGGAAGTGATGGCATTTTTGGTGAAAAGAAAGATGACAGCCGGGCAGGTGAGTCTGTGTCCTTCTAAAGACAAAGAAAAGTAAGGTCCCTGTTTGAAGTTATTCTGGAGTTTATATGTAATAGCAATGTATTTTTTAAGAAGACTTTTCAAAAGCCAAGTAAGTTGACCTTTATTAAACTCCCCTGAAGTCTCACATGACTCTGACTTCTTCTACCGGGCATTGAAATGCAAAAGTGAAATTAATGATGTCTTAAATTAGGATGGACTCAAGATATAAAAAGGAATTATTATTTCATTGGGATTTTTTATTTTTTGAGAAAAGTTGCAAGCTTAGGTTTTTGTTTGTTTTGTATTTGCATTGTCTGAATTCAAACTTAACAAACACTTGGCATTTCAAAGGACTAATTATACAGGAGCCTATAGTTCTACGTGAAAAAAGCAATAGAGAGTGTGCCCATTCCTGTGCTGTAAAGCAATTCTGCCCCCAACAAGGGATATGTGTATTTGAGTGGTAACAGTCCTTCTGCAACATAAAGCTGCTTCCAAAGCAGAATTATAGCCCTTCAGCAGTACCTTCCCTCCTAGGCTGATGGCTGATCTTTAAAGCAGCAACTTCTTTAAGTAGCTCAAGCAGCTTTGTGTTTAATAAAACAAAACAAAAGTCACTCTTATTTCATTTCTGCTTGTAAATACTAATGTCCTCGCTGATGTTTGAAGCCCAGGATGGCTCCGACCCAGACAAATCGCTCTGGCCAGTTTCATCTGCTCTCACAGCTCGTCTCCGGCGTCTGGTCACAATTTACCAGCGCTGCAACCGCAAGGAGCTCTGTCGACCTGAAATCTTGGGACCAGGTAACCAAGGATACTGGGTTCAGGAGGAGTTGTTCAGGAGAACCTCAGAAATGGATCTCATCAACAAGGAAGCCCAGAAGAGGTAAAAACCAAGGGCCAGAGGGCACACTGAACTGTTCTGTGGGAAAAGGTGATAATAGGGAATGTTATAGCTACAAGGCAAGTGTTTATGTTCTCAGATTGTCTCCAGAATTCATTAAATGCAGCTTCCAATGTGGTATCTAATGAGATCTGGGACTCTGTTCACAATTCCTACTTTTATGTCTTTCCAACTTGACATTTTTCCCTAAGTCAGACCCTAGTCACTGGGGATATATCATATATCAGACCATTTCAAACCTTCTGGTTCTTACAGCAACAGAAGGAATTGAATCTGTCTTATTATAGTTACAAGTCTTTATCAAACCTTTAAAGGCAATAAATACTATAAAATGCAAGCCCAAAAGAAGGTATAAATTATCAATAGTTACTGCTTATCTGAGAATTAAGCTAAAAAGGCTACACTAAGCTAACATAGGTTAAGAATGAACATATCAGTGAAGTTGCAATTCTTTGAGTCTTTAATCTCTCTGTCCTTCCATTGAAGCATCCATTACAGGAACACCATATAGCAAATCCAGTTACTTCTCTATATTCATTCTAACTTTATGAAATTTGGTAATTCAGGTAAAATATTTCTCCCATCTGATACAGCTGCAGAGAAGCTTTCTGCTGCTCACTCTTCCACTCTTCCACTAACCCCACACCTCACCCCCATTCCTAGCTGTGTTGGAGAGCACTGTGCCCAAGAACCCCTGTAAAACTATGGTGGCAAGTTATTATCCCACTCTCTTAAGTCATTATCTTAATCCTGTGAAATATAAAAGCTAGAGGAACTTTGTGTCCCAGCGAAGACAATTGACATGGGCAGCCAACCGATATAAAAGCAAGAAGAAAGGTGAAAGGCCAGTGAGGAGTCAGGATGTGTACACTGAGGTAGCATTTATCTTCTCAGCTCCAGTTTCCTTGTTGTAAGATAAAGAGGTTAAATTTAATGGTCTGGAAGATCCCTCCAGGATTATCATTCTGTGCTATCATGGGGGTAGGGCAGGATATTTAAGCATATATAATATTGTTTAAATCCTTATTTCCTACAAGCTGAAGTTAACTAGATAATTCCTAAAATTTGATGGCTTGAAAGTGCCACATGCCTTTAAACCCAGGACTCAGGAGGCTGAGGCAGGAGGATCTCAAGTTCAAAGCCAGCCTGGCTATATAGCGAGACCCTGTCTCATAAAAAAACAGTTCACTTTCCCGCTCTGATTAAATCCCAAGGTGGACTAGGAGAGAGCAAGCAGACTTCTATAGAACAGTGTCTTCCTTTGGCGTTGTTTATGATCAAGAAAAGAAAACCTTCGATTGGACACAGTTCCGCATCATTTCCCGTTTAGACAAGAAGTCAGATGAGAACCTGGAACACTATTTCCATAGTTTTGTGGCCATGTGCCGGAATGTCTGTCGTCTGCCTGCATGGAAAGATGGTGGTGAGAAAACTCTTTGTCACTATATTGTCAGTGAAATGGGAAAAGAACATGGTAATATTAAAGTTTCAGAATTACTTTAGCTATAACTGTGAAAGTGGATCCTATCTGAGGAATTCATATAAACACAAGAAAGTTCTTAGAAATGCATGAACTTTTAATCAGGCCCACCCTCAGTAAAACAAAATGCTTCCCAAATGATATAACTGCAGTGGAAGTTGAAATTCAGTTAAAACCTCACAGAAATACTGAGAGAGTGCCATTAACTACTTTTTAGAAGGGGAAAAAAAAAACCTATAATTTTCACATTGAGATATATCCTACTCTGAACTTCACACCTTCCTCAGATGAAATCTTAATAACTTTAAACATTTTCTCATGTCTTGACTTATAGAAAATAAGTGGATGTTATTTAAATATCTCCTGATCCCTATAGAGAGTCCTTCTGAAATTGACTGGCATTTTCAACAGCTGCCTTCAGGTTTCCCCTTTAGCCTCATATTTGTAGATAAACTTGTTCTGGGCCATGTGACCAGCTGTTAGGAAAGCTGAAACAAGCATTGAGCCTACCTGGCATGGGTTCTGGGCATGGATAACAGCATGTAGACATCCTGTTTTCTCCACCTTCCCCCCCCAACAATATATATAGGAAAGATCGGGATTTTGGAATCATACTGCCAAGATTTGAATTCTTGTCTGTCACTTTGAGCAACTTAGCTTATCTGAACCTGTCTTATCATCCTTAAAACAGAATGATAGCTGGAAACCAGTGGCTCACACCTGTAATCTTAGCTACTTGAGAGGCTGAGGTCAGGAGGATTGCAGTTTGAGGCCAGTTCAGGCAAATAGTTTCCAAAACCCCATCTCCAAAATGGGCTGGCAGTATGACTCAAGCAGTAGAGCATCTGTTTTGCAAGCATAAAGCCCTGAGTTCAAACCCTAGTCCCTTTAAAAAAAAAAAAAAAAAGGAATGGTATAGTATATTTCAGAGTTTTTGTAAGAACTAGATAACCTATGTAAAGTACCTAGTGTGGAGCACACATAGTATTATTTACAGAAACGGTGTTTTCCTACACTTGTTTTACCTTTCCTTGGTCACCCTTGACCATTTTTCTTTTAGCAGGGGCCCACACACCTAAAACTGCCATGCTGAGAAGCCAGGGAGCTGAACTATAAAACCAAAGATTCAGGGATGGGGGCAGGGGGCAGAGAGTATCCAGAAACACCTTATGTGATAAGGTCTGTGTTTCTTCTTCTCTCCAGGTTCCCCCGATACCACTGTCTATGTTGAACCCATCACTGAAGAGAGGGCTGCAAGAACTCTATACCGCATTGAACTATTACGGAAAGTTCGCGAGCAGGTGCTCAGGTGTCCTCAGCTGCATGAGCGCCTCCAGCTCTGTAGGCCCAGCCTCTACCTCCCAGTCTGGTGGGAATGTGGGAAGCATGATCGAGACCTGCTCATCGGCACTGCCAAACATGGACTCAACCGCACTGACTATTACATCATGAATGACCCTCAGCTGTCCTTTCTGGATGCCTATAGAAACTATGCCCAGCATAAAAGAACTGACACTCAGGCAACAGGAAGTCTCTGTTGCCTTTACCAGACCAACTCCAAACTATATGAATCTCTTACCTATACTCAAATGAGTAAGACTTCAGAGTCCCTTGGAAGTGAACCTGAGAATCTGGTGAAAATAGAAAGCAGAGATGATTATCGAGGTCTGCCTGGGGGCAGCTTAACTGATGTGACTTGTGAAAACTTTATTTCTAAAGTTCAGGATGTCATTTCCATCAACCATGATGAAAGTCTGCTGCCTGGGTCCTTGGAAAACATATTGTATGGTAAGAAGGGGCTGAGCCGAGAGCCAAATACCAACACAGAATCCAGGAAAGATGCCATTGCCATCTCAATCAGCAAAGATGGGAGCTGCCAGCCTGGTGATCATGAGGCAGAAATAGCTTCAAGCCCCTCACTGATGGGTAGCTTAGAAGCAGGAGTAGCTCAATTGAACATTAAAAATGGCAAACATTCGTTGATATCTCTTTCAAAGGAAGGAGAGCCCTGCTGCAGTGAGACAGAACAGAGACCTGAAAGCCTGGAGCTGCTAGAAGCCAAATGCTTAACTTCCTCTACCTTTGATGCAGGAAATGAAACTGGGTTTGTAGATCTGTGCAGTCTTAGTGTCTGTGACTCCAAAAGAAACCTCTCATCAGACCAGCAATTAATTGATTTATTAGAAAGCAAAAGTTTAGAAAGTAAATTGATATTGAGTCAGAACCAGAGTGATGAGGAGGAGGAAGAGGAGGAAAATGAGGAAGAAACTTTAACCATGATAGCAGGCACCAGAAAGAGGCCAGAGGTTTTGCATTTCACTGAACCCACCACTAACATCCCAAGAGGAAAGAGCCGAGGCTTCCATTTGGATGAAGGCAAGAAAGGAAGCCTAGAGACAGTAAGCCAGACTCCTGGACCACAGAGGGCCTTTCCTCCAGGGTCCTGTCAATGCCAGTGCAAACACATGGAGAGGTGGGCACATGGGAGTGAGGAATTTGAAGTGGAAAAACCGAAGGCTTATACCCCAGACTTGTACAGAAGCAAAGCCAATAATATTACATTGGAAGGGGAGCCCACTGCTGTTCCATCAGAGTCATTTAAAATGAAACTTGTAAAAGAACCTTGGAAAGAAAGTGCAGAAGGGAAAAAAGGTTTCTCCATATATACTTCTGAGGGAAGTGAACCCAAGTCAGAAGACATGGATTTTGAGAATAAAGATGATTATGATGGAACCTGCCCTAGTCAAGGTATGTAAAAGCTGTGGGATTCTGGATAAGCCAATCTTCATATTATAGGAAAGAGGGATAAGTTGGGGGAAATGGTCACTAGTAGTCACAACTTCTGCACCTACCCACCAAAGCCAGAAAACAAAGACCTCTGTCTGAAAACTAGACAGTATATCTCAGCTGTGGTTATCCCAAAAGCTGAGGATGATTACAGATAGTCATGGTACCTGTGCTCCATTAGCCATGTGTAATCTGGTAGGAACTTTGTGCTTTTATGCAATAGATGCAGTGTCTGGTGCCCAGGGAAGCAGTGTGTTCTTGCACTTAGTCAGGTGCTTCAGGCTAGTTAAAGGAGAACAGTTTTGGTACAGGAGAGACCTGCAGTTAACAAGAGTTCTATTAGTTTGCAGGAACTCCAAAAATACAAAAAATTGGCCTTTGTTGAGCTGAACAAAAGCAGCTGTTATTTATATATTCATCAGAACCCTGTGCTTTAATGTTGGGGCATTTGGGTTAGATTCCTTTTAGTACTAAACACAAAAATTACAACTAAAATTACAATGTGAGCTTTTTAAATAGCGAAATCTTAGATAAGGGTTCAAGTTAGAAGGAACTTCAAAAAAGTTTTTTCAAAGAAAAACAATTTAAATGACCCTAAAATTTATGCTTTTTGGGAATATAAATATAATGATAAGGGATCCCAAGGACGACAACAAGTGATTTTTAACTTACTTTTATTTCTTCACATCTAAGAGGGCATATGAGCAAAAATAGTGCATTTATTCTTGCCCATATCAAAACCAGAAAACAACCTGTTGGTGTTTGCCTGGTGCTAGTTGTGGCCCTCAGTTAGTGAAATAAGCACCACCACTTTTTCTCTGGGGCAGTGATTCTATATAGAGGCAGGAGTAAGGCCCAACTTCCTTGAGTTACCTAGCTTTTTATTTTTAAATTTCCCATCTTTGGTTTGCTCACTGTGATTCGTGACTATCTTAGGAAAGAACAGTTACACACTAACTAGGATAAGGACTGATGGACTTGTGGTCCAGGCAGCCCAGGAGGAGCCTGTCTACAAAACCATGCTTCAGGCTTCCTCCTAACCCCAGTCCAACAAGGATCATTACCAGGTGTCAAATTATAAAGTCCACATTGTTTGAACCCTGTTGTGGAGAAAAATCACCAAATAATCAGTCATTGGAAACTCAAGACACCCAAATGAGCACAGAATGAATATGATTTGGAGAAGAAAAATTCCTCCTTCCCTTCTTTGGTGGCAGGGCAGAAGATCAGTGAACCAGGTAATAAGCTTGTAATTGCTGGATCTTATTTATCCACTGAGTGGGTAGGTACCTATGCACCAATGCTTTTACAGACCACGGAGGGGGTCTTCCATACACAACTGGTGTGAGATAAGTGCTATAAGGACATACACCATGGTTGGAGACTAGAAATCCTATAATCCTAAAAGAGCAGTGGCTCACTGCTTCCTCTGTTAGGGAAGCCAGCACACCCCACACAAATACATACCCACAACCCCATCTTACCACCACCACCCCCATCTTCCTGGCTCCTCTGCTTAAAACCTCTCAGTGATGCTTCTGTTGAATCCAGAACAAAATCTCATTTTCTGTCAAGACTTTAGGGGACTCAGGATGATCTGTATGACTTCCTCCCCCAGCCTCATCTTTATCCTTTGCTCCTGCCTGTCTTGGTTCTTCAGCATGTCCAAAATAACCTTTCCCCATTGCCTTCTCATCTTCAGGGGTGTTCTCTCTTTACTAGCCTACTTAGATAGATCCTTCCCTCTTATTTATTCCCTATCATGGACCTTGTTTCATATTCTCTCTTTCTCTCTCTCTCTCCTCCCTCTTCTTTTCTCCTTCTCTCCCTCTCTCTGTTGTTGTTGTTGTTGTTTGTTTGTTTTTGAAGCAGGGTTTCACAATGTAGTCCAGGCTATCCTGGAGCTTCCTGTGTAGCCTGGGCTGGCTTCAAACTCCCAGTCCCCTGGCCTCAGCCTTCCCAGTACTGGGATTACAGGTGTACCACCATGCCCTACACATTTCCTTCTCTTTAAAGCACTGTCACAGCTTATAATTATAGTTACTCCTTTACTGTTACTGTTTTCCTGTCTCTCCCTATGAGGCTGTAAGAACCGTGAAGATCAGGCCACATTTCTCTTGTTTGTCCTTGAGTCCACCAGGCCTAGCAAGGTGCATTCATAGTAAAGGGTCTCCACAGGTCCATAGGAGACTTGCCACACAGTCAGAAGTAAAGTCCACATGTCCAAGGGTAGACAGACATTGGTGTCTTTTCACCTAGAAGAGAGGTCCATATCTTTTCTACCCTGGGTGTTCACTGCCGTCTGTTCATTCTCTGGCATTACCGGTAAGTGGATATTTGAAGATCCATCCACATTGCTAATTAACTTTTACCATTACTTAAGCTTGAAAGAATGAATTACATTTCTCTTTTTTTTTAAGTAATGGAAAATTGTGAAGTAATAGAAGTGTTCCAGTTTATTTTCATTTTTTATATGAATCAGGTCTCTTTTACCTTTGTTAAGTTTCATCCTTTCTCATTAATCTTGCTGTGTTACATTTCATACTTGTAGACTGTCCCTTCAAATGTCAAAGTATTATAATTGTCATTTTCATCTTTTCCACTATACCAATGAGAAATGGTATCTCCTCTTTCTCTTGGATACACAGAGAAATTTCCTTCTCTTTTTTTTGTCATGAAGATGTGGATGCAGTGTCTTAGTCCACAACTTGATTGGTAACCATAAAGCAGGATTTGCTTTTATGGCTTAACTAATTTGATTCTCCTGAAAATAGGAGATATGATAAGTAATAGTTTAAAATAAATTAGCACAAAATGGGCTAAGAAAAACAGAAAAGACAAATTTTGATCTCCTAATCTCTCAGATCATTACTGTTTCCCAATTGCCTAGTGGGTTTTTTAAACCTTCTTTTCCAGACTATCTAGGGAAATACTCTGAAGAAGAGAGCAAGAGCTCAGCTTCAGGTATTGCAGGAGACCTTGGAGACGACCCTCAGGAAACTCGGGCTCCCACCATTGCTCAGCTGCTTCAGGAGAAAACCCTCTATTCCTTCTCTGAGTGGCCAAAGGTATCTCCCAGAGCTTGCATCCTCCATCTGAACATTCTCAGCTTTGATTCTTTTATTTCAAAACTTTTAAAATATTTCTATAAAACAAACTCAAATGTTCCATGTTTGTATTAATTATATAACATAGTTATATATGTATTACTTATATAACATTTATACATTAATAATATATAATTAAACCATAATATGAAAGTGTCAGTTGTCCTCATATTTATAGCAGGGAATTTAATCTTCATCATCCAGACTATGAAGTTTGTTTTTAGGCTTATAAAGTATGTTTGCATGCTCTTTTCCAGTCAACTCTTTTGGTGAAAGAACTTGACCCTTAATCTCAAGAAACTTTGTGAATTTAGATAACTTTGTGAATTTGGGTGCCTCTTCCTCAGATCTGTTATCCTTTTCCCAGGACCGTGTGATAATTAACCGCCTAGATAATATCTGCCACGTGGTGTTAAAGGGGAAGTGGCCCTCAAGCCAGCAATATGAGCCCTCGGGCACACTGCCCACCTCCATCTTAACCAGCAATGCTGGTTCTCGAAATAGCCTCTCAGAGCCAGAAGCAGCAGAACACAGCTTCAGCAATGGGGCAGTGTTGACAACCCAGATCCAGAAGGTGAGGCATAAGGATGGAGTCTACTGCAAAGCAAAGAATGGTGGCCACACCCCACTTCTTATTCATTCAACAAATATCTACTAAATGGAGATCTTTTATTGAGCAGTTAGTATCACTTGAGGAATTTCGACTTAATCATATAGTCTGTAGAGAGCTATTAAAAGCTTTAGAGCAGAGAAGTACATGGTGAAAGCAGGGGTTTGTAGCTCAACTGGAGTCTGCAGACTGGCAGACGAGGTGATGGAAGAAGCAAAGAGTGCCTCGACCAAGGGCCAAACGGGGAACTGATACAGAGAGAAGGTTTTAGACTATAGGTTAGACAGAGTAACTAACAAAGAAAGGGACAGATTTGGCAAGGATGATTTGAGGCCTAGTAAATAAGGGAAAGGAGGCATGAGGGGACAGATGTCTTTCAACCCTTCGATAATGGAGAGAACAGTGACAACTGATAGAAATTAGGAAATCAATTCAGGAGTGAGCTTTTCTGTGAAAGGTGAATGGTTTCATTTGAGGTAAATTTTTAGTACAGTGGCTTTCACTTGACCGCACATTAGAATCAGCTGGGGACCTTGAAAAGCTACTGATTCTGATTTCACTGGTCTGGGGTATGGCCTGGTATTGGGATTTTTTTTTTTATTATTATTATTATTAGCTTCCCACATGATTCTGATACACAGCTAAGGCTGAGAATCCCCGAGTCATAATCTTGCTACTGCAAAGTGCAGTCCATGGACTAGCAGCTTTGGCAGCATCTGGAAACCTGCTAAAAATGCAGGCTCTTGGGCTCTGCCCTAGGCCCACTGAAGTAGACAAGCCATTCAGGTGGTTTGCGACTAACATTTGAGGAGGCTTGAGTTCAAAGAACTTCTAAGAAGATGACTAGAAATAATAGGAGGCATGAGGAAATCAGGCCTGGAGAAGGAGCTGGCATTCAACCACAGAAGTAGCATTCAAATTCCTTTTGCCATGTGTGTGTTCACAGGAGAGCTTCTTAGCTCCAGTATTCACTAAAGATGAACAGAAGCACAGACGTCCCTATGAGTTTGAGGTGGAGAGGGATGCCAAGGCTCGGAGCCTAGAACAGTTCTCTGCCACTCATGGGCACCCTCCCATCATCCTCAATGGCTGGCATGGGGAGTCAGCTATAGACCTCTCCTGCTCATCAGAGGGGTCCCCAGGAGCCACATCCCCTTTCCCAGTGAGTGCCAACACCCCTAAGATTGGGGCTATCAGTTCACTTCAAGGAGCCCTCGGCATGGACTTGTCTGGGATTCTACAAGCTGGCTTGATCCATCCAGTGACTGGACAGATTGTCAACGGAAGCCTCAGAAGAGACGATGCTGCCACAAGGAGGCGAAGAGGGAGACGGAAACATATTGAAGGAGGAATGGACCTCATCTTTTTGAAGGAGCAAACCCTTCAGGCAGGAATCTTGGTAGGTATATGAGGACACTGAGTAAAAATCATGACCTTACATAGACACAAACCTTCTTCCTCAGACACTAGTATTTTGGTTTATAGATCTTTCCTCCCTATTTCAATTGTCCTACTTATTTTCTGTCATTATAAGATGCCCTTCCTCTTTTCTAGAACTCAGTAGATACTACCCATTAATGGCCCTTAATCTGCATACAGCCTGGAAAATAACAGGAGGTCTTGTCATTTCAAATAGAAACAGCCCAAATCCTCCAGAGTGTGAGAAGAGCCACTGGCGATTAAACAAGCAAAGCAAGACAATAGCACTGGGTTTGCAGCAGCATTTCTACCACATGGTGAGGCTATCCAGGAGCTAAGGTGTAGGAGACAGAACAGGAGTCAGGATTAGCTGAATGTTGGTCCTGGCTCTCTTGCCTGATACTGAGCAAGCTGCTGAACCTCACTCTCCTCCTCTGTAAAGCTATTGCAGAGGGTTGCTATGAAGATTCCTGGAGAGGACAGTTAAGACAGCTCACCATAAACAATGGAAGAGGTCAGAAACTGTGTGCCTAGGCAAGAGAAATCCAGCTTCCTTTAGACTTTGCTTAGCACTTAATGTTGTATTTTGAGTTTTCCCATTTATCTACCAGATTTTGAGCCCCAAAACAAGTATCACATTTCATGTTTTCTTATTTTAAAAATAATAACCAGTACTTATTACCTACTATATGGCAGGCAGTATTGAGAGTTTTTCATGGTTGTCCTATTTGATCCTCACAACTACCACACTGTGAAGATCAGTGTTTTATAGATGATGAAACTGAAGCATTAAATAATTTGCTCAAAATCATCCAGCTGCTGAGTAGTGATAGGGTAGGAAACAAAACTTAAAGACCTTGTTCTATAGATCTGAGAATTTTACAGCTAAGTGTATTACTTGGGATATGTCCTCCTCTTTAGACTTTGTATATAATCTGAGAAGCTGAAGTGACTGATTTTTGCCCAAATAAACTTAATTTTTTAAATTATTCTAGTATTTTGAATTTTTTAGTAAATCTTATTAACATTTTTTTGAGATGGGGGTCTCCCTGTGTTGCCTCGGCTGGTCTAAACTATGTCAGCTCATGTGATCCTCCTTCCTCAGCCTCCTAAACAGCTTGGACTATGTGCCACCATGTGCCACCATACTTGGTTCCTACAAGCTAATTTTAATAGATTGTGGTTTTAGAAACCAGCCACAATTTCCCAATTTCTGGGAATCACAGAATCCCAGTAGAATAATAACTGGTTAAAAAAATCTTTTTTTTCTTGACCTCTGAATATTTTTAAAATTTGTTGATGCAAACACTTCCTTAGCACTGACATAGTATTTTATAAGTAAATTTCATTATAAATGATGGAATTTCAGAGATGAGTTAGACAAGCATCCAAACCAGGTAAGCAAATCTCAGTGTGGCATTTCTGGAACATGAGAAATGTTCATTTTGTGAACAAAGTGCTCTGGGTACAGGAGCTAGCATAGCCATTGTTCCCTGGGACAGTCAGCAGTATTCAGTAGACTGAATTGGAGCATTTAGGGTGGAGTTAAAGTTTGCTTTATAGACAGTGGAAGAAGAACACTCAGATGAGGAAACTCTTAGTATTGTGGGAGCAAAGGCAAATCAAGAGAGAAAGGGATTCTAATTGGGTGGGGGAAGACATGAAAAGCTTCAAAGAACACGTAATGTGTTCAACTTTTAGGAACTAGTTTTTATTCTGTCGTGATTAAGATAGATACTCATTTTTCCTTTATCCAGGAAGTCCATGAAGACCCAGGGCAGGTCAATCTGAGCACTACACATCCTGAAGGGCTGGGACCTGCTACCTCAACCCCCGAGCCAGCAGCAGCAACCAACAGCCAGGCCGAGAAAGCTGTTCCCAGCAAGAGCCTGCTTGACTGGCTGCGGCAGCAAGCTGACTACTCTTTGGACATTCCCAGCTTTGGGGCAGTAAGTGCTGTTGGTGCTGCCTAATGCTGCTGTTAACTGTAGTTGTTTTTAATCAGTACCTACTGAAGGAAAACAGGTAGAAGCTGTTTGGGTGAAATCTGTGTTGCCTGACATTATTTTAAAACTGGTTTTTTAAATTTTAAATTTTGGTTAAATCCTCCAGGAACAGAAATTACAGCTTGTGTCAGAATACTGTGCTAAGAAATAGACATGTAAAATCTTGAGAGGACAGAACTTACCAAAGTTCAGTCCCCTCACTTTCCCCAAAGTGACAACATAGTATCATAAACTCACAGAGTAATCTGAAGACTTGCTTCTAAACTCTGCCATTGGATGAAAATTTTACAAGTTAATGTATTACTACTTGGTTGGAGGAGCTCTATTCTTGGATTACAGTTATTACTTTGAGTCTTTCCCTTCAAGTCATCTTGCTGCCTTTGCTGTAAGTCCTTCCAGTTAGGAATCTTTAGAAGGGCTCCCGGGTACTGATATTTTTGTCTTGATTTTTCTTGTCTCATTTTCTCATCTACCTCACCAGTGTCTTTGTCCTGGGCTCATCTGACTAATAAGATGAAAAGAAGAGAATGAATTCTCAGGTGCTTACTGTGCTAAGACAGATAGAGCCAACCAAGGAGGTAGAATTGGGGAGAGAATCCAAGGAAGAGAAGGTCAGGGATTCAGCAGTGGCCTGGGAAGCTGGTGGGTCAGCTCATGGACTCCAGTCTGGAGGGCCAGGGCCCAGTTTACTATAGGAACAAGGGTGCGTCAAGGTGCTTATGTGAAGGCTGAAGTCCTGTGCAGGATGCCATCAATGAGAAAAGAACAAAAACAGCTGAAAAGCACCACCCTCTTTAGAAGACTGTGCCAGAATGTTCTGTAATATTGGTCTCCATTTGCCTCCTAGAGTTTTTCAGACAAACCAAAGCAGAGGAGGCCACGCTGTAAAGAACCTGGAAAATTAGACGTCAGCTCTCTGAGTGGAGAAGAGAGGGTTCCTGCTGTACCCAAGGAGCCAGGACTAAGGGTAGGAAGAGGGCCATGGATGTCAGACCAAGGCTAAGCCGCACCTTGCACATTTGAGAGAAAGCTCCAACTGGAAAGTGGATAGCTGGGCAGCGCAAAAAGTTGACCAACAGCAATCAGTGGTACCTGGGCATTGCTGAGCAGCAGTGTGACTGGGTCCTGTGGCCATTTGTTTTCTCCCTTTACCTCTTAAACTGTTGGTGAAACCATTCCCAAAGCTTGGCTGGTTTTTATGTTTTATTTTGTTTTCCATATTTGTAATTACAAGGGAAGCCCTGTTTCTAGTGTTTAACAAATGTCACCATGGGAAATTTTCCTTTCTTATCTATGTTTTTTTGACTATCATCTAAGACATTTCTTCCTAGTGCTTCCTCGCTGACAATGAAAAACAGCTGACTCTGAGCACTGCCCTTTTTCTATTATAGAAATCATGAGACTAGAAGGGACTTCAAAGACATCTGCACAATATTTGAAGCGTAACAAGTATGAGTTAATTATAGTTTACAGATGCATACCAATTTGGAATAGAAAAGTCAAACCTCTAGGGGGCAGCAGTGGCATTTCCCTGAAAACTGCATGGGCAAATTGCATGTTAGTGAGCTTTTAACCTCCTCATAGTGCATCCTGCCCAAATCTGAAGGTCCCCCAGGCTGTTCATAAACTCAAATTCTCCAGAACACTGTCTCTTCAGCACCCTGCCAGCTGCAGCTTCCCTGTATATGATGTCCCTCCTTCGTGGGATTGCCTAAGTGTGATTTCTTATGTTAGCTGCAGAAGACCACCCACCCTCATCTTTTCCTCCTTGTGCAAAAAGGAGTTGTTATTTAATGTCCCCAAGGAACTTTGTCACTGACAAAGCAGCAACCCCACAGACAACTGCTCTCGCTCAACCCCACAGACAACTGCTCTTGCTCATCTGCATTAACTGCCACCAGTCACTTGGGGGAAGGCCTGGGCCAATCCTCCAGTGTGTCACACTTTGTGTGTTCTTCTTTCCCTGCTCTTGCTTTATTCTCAGAAAATATCTTTTAACACCCTCTTCTTTGACATGCTGAAGAGCTAATCCAGCTCCTATCTTTATCCTGTCTGCTTTTCCTCAACCTTTCCATTGTGCCTCGGCATGGAGTGTCTCAGTGAATTCATCAGGTAAAGGCCTCCAATTCTTGCCTGGTTGTAGACCCTGAGCTCTTTTGTGGTTTACAGACTTGTCAAATAGCTGTGGTTTCCCTGGCCTTCTGATTTCTCTCTAACAGTTTTCCTATGTGGAAAATTAATGTTTATCACACTTCTTCAGATACTGACCCCTTGACAGAAAAACCATTTCTAAACTCTTCTTGCAAGTCAGTCTCTTCCCCAAGATTCATCTCCCTCCTTTGTTAAATAAACACATTCTCTGCCTCCTAGGCCCTTTTTCTGCAGGAAGTCAAAAACAGGAACTTGTCCACCTGGTCTTCAGGGTTGCTCAGCCTTCCCAACAAGTACAGGGCCACATGCAAGCCACATGTCTCCCACAAGTCTTTCTGGTATGTGACTCTGCCAGGATGTGCTGCCCTTTCTTTCCTATAGAAACTCGTAGTCCATTGAGGCTGGTGTACAAAGGGCTTATAAACAATATTCTCACAGTTCTGAAGGCAAGTTCTCACAGTTCTCAAAGTTCAAGATAAGGATGCCTGCAGGTTTGGTATCCAGTGAGGACCCAATACAGACGGCTATCTTCTTGCTATATCCTCAAACGAAGCTCTCTTAAGGGCACTAATCCATTCATGAGGGCTTGGTCCTATCACCCCTGATAGCCCTCACCTCCTCACATCTTGGAAGGACATGGTGTTCCGTCAATGGCCAAAACCCTAACAATTCTTCTATAGATTAAAATCCCACAAGGAACTCCTTCCTTCTTTTGGAACTTACATAACCCTTCTGTGATGTATACTGTGGTTTGGCTGGGTAAGCTCCACAGTCTTGGCATAATAAAAGCTGCACAGAAGGCAGGAGGACTCAATTCTATAATGCCTAGGACATAGTGGTTGCTTATTAGCTATTTGTATACATACATATAGTTTATATATATATATATGTATATATATTTGTTTTACATGTATATAGTTTATTTTTGGCTGAGCCAAAGCAGTAACTTGTAGCTATGACATATTACTCCTAAATACTTTAGCATGCATCTCTTAACATTTTCATACATAATTATTGCCATTATCACACATATTAATATTAATAAGATTTGATGTCTAGGTTGAAAGTGGAAGAGTTCCTGCCTAGCAAACACAAGGCCCTGAGTTCAATCTCAGCACCACAAAAAAAAGATCTGATAGTTAATCAATATTCAGATTTCACCAAGCATTCCAAAAATGTCTTTTAGAGATGACTTTAGTTCTGTTTTTTGTGCTATGCTCTGCTTTTAGGATTTCTAAATGAGAAGCCACCCACTGCATTTAGGTGCTAGGTCTCTTCACTCAGTATTTGTTGGGTGAACCTACTGACCTTCCTAGGAGGAGTAAGAAAGCTGACTGCCACCCTTCTCTTACCTCTACCCAAGAGTTTTAGAGTTGGAATAAATGCTATGATGAAGATGGTCTTTGTTTGGAATTCTGGAAAGCAGCTTTGCCTCCAGTGTTGCTTAAACATAAGGATTCTCCTTTTCCTTGCTCTCTCTGCTCTCTCTCCAGGCCTCCCCTGGAAGCAGAGGCAGGTTTGCTCTCAGGGTATGATTACCAGGAGGGAGAGCTGCCAAAACCCAATTTGGCCACTGTGTGTGGTCGCTGAGCTGCTGGGAGGGGCATCTCCCTGAGGTAGGCAACAGCTGGGTGGCTAGAGTGACTTTCCACCACAGGAAGTGGTAAACGCCAACTTCTCTGCCCACACTCCTTTTGCTGTCTGTAGATGAAGAGTTCCTCTCTACACCTGGGCCTTCCTGCTTTAAAGACTATAGTCTCCACCTACATAGCAAGTTCTCATTTCTGACAGGGCTCAACATTCTCTGCCCCAACAAGGACAAAGAAAGAATGTTTTTGACATCATGATGCCTGAGGAACACTCCTTGCAGGGAGACTAAAGGCCCAGTGGGACATCAGCTGGTCTTAAATGATTGCCTAGATGCAGATGGTCTGACAAGGAACAGTTTAAATGATGTTAAAGGTCTGATCCATAGCAGATTGTTAGAAAATAAGGTAGAGGCATTATTCATCAAGTGCTGAACTTGTTTTCTTCCCAAAAGAAGGACTTCTGAGTTGGAACATGCCCCTCCCAGTGGAAACTTATGGGGAGAGCTATAAGAGAACCTGGCCTTCCTGGCACCTTTCTCTAGTTGTGGGTGGGCTGTAGGGGAGAGGTCTCAGAGAAGCCTTGAAGTGGAGTGTGTCATGGACCAGCAACTGTCCAAGACTATATGGTGCAGACAGAGTGGCTAGCCTAGAACAAGGTGGTTTACATTAATCAGCTTAAAACAGACTGATGAAAACTTGTCCTTTTAGCCTTGTCCCATCTATCAAGTCTTAATATCTCTTTAGTCAAGAAACAGTAGGATTTTCTCCCTAGTGATTGTCCCCAAAACCAGAGTGGGCACTAGTGCAGCTTACTCCAGGACAAACCAGCCTAGTACATTGCTCGTGGCTGGTCATGTTGAGAATAAAGATATACGTGGTGTTGTGTGGTATGTAAAGAGCCCCTGGGCTCTCACCTGCTCTGTCCCTACCACTTATGCTCCAGGGCAATCCTTTCCCTTCCATTTTGAAAGGGAAAAGAACCAAATGTAACTTTGGAGAGGTTTTTGTAGCTCCATGATACTAAACCAGGGCTTTTGAAGTTTTCTTACAGTTGCCATCATAAAGCTTTCTTGAATATTCTTGGTTTTTCTTGAATATTCTTTGGGAAATTGAAGGACAAGTGTAGGACTTAAAAAATAATGATGTCTGGTACACAGAAATATTTGAAGACTCATAAGTTCTCTGTGAAGAAGGCTTTGATGAGAGTACCAACTTTGGGGAAGGTATAATGATTAATTGAGATGATACAGTGGAGCCCTAGGATTGGTGCCTGACTCAGCAGATGCGTCATTAGTGCCAGCTGTTGTTTCTCCTGCTGCTCTTCCTGTCACCACCACCCCTACTACCTAAATACCCTTTGAGGTACTGACCACTCCCTGTGGGGAAATCAGCATATCCCAGCAGCTTCTTCTCTTGGAGCCTACCATGCGTGTCCTTGCAGCTCCCTGATAACCTGAAACCAGTGTGACCAGATAACTCAAAACTGCCCCTTAAGCAGAGCTCTGTTGAGTGTTCTGTAATAGTTCTGAGAATAGAAACATGAAAACAATGAGAAATGTCAGAGCTATGAGTTAAAGTTCCTAAGTCAATCCTTAGGAAAGTAGCAAGTAAATTTTTTACTGCTCTCAGGGCCAGTCCCAGTCTCAGCCCTTAGACATTCTTAGCTTCGCTGACATCACTCCATATTTTGTAGGACTCTAAGCCCTTATAATAGGGTTTCTCTGGCTCTTCTTGTGTCTCTGGGTAAGACCTGCACCTCCTTTCTTGCCCCAAGAGTCTGCTCTGTTGAGGAGTATAGCCAAGTTCCACGTCTTATTTTCAAAGACAGGAGGCTGTGAGCTGGTGGAGCCTTGGAACTCACTCCAGATTTGCAGGAAGGGAAGGCATTTGCACAAAGGAGAGTCCTGAAAAGGCACCAGATGCAGCTTATAGATGTGCATGAGCTCCTCCATGCTGGTGGCCTAGTGAGCTCTTCCACCTCATGCTGCTCTGCAATCTCCACATTCCAACCTGATGGTCATTTGTGTCCCTAGATAGACACTGTCCAGTATCACAGTCCCATCAGGGGCCACTCAACATCCTGACTTCTCCTTGCTGGAATTGAGAAAAGGTGGTAAAATTAACACTAACTTTGTAATGGGACTGTAGGAAGGAGATGCCAGACAGTGAGAGGTGCTATACTTCTCTGTAGCTGGGAAGGGGCACCCAACTTGCCATGTACCAACAGGGAAGGACTTTTTCCTTTTATACTCCCTCTCTGTGTGAAAAAAAAAGACACGACTGCTCGACAACACAAGTATTAGTGGCCTCCTTCTAATCCTGTATTACTTAATGAACTGACAGAGCAAGGGGTGGTGGAAGGCAATAGACAGGTGTGCAGTTATCCATGGCCTAGGGACTGGGCACTGCATCCTGAAAGAAATCGCCACCTTTCTGTAGGAAAAACAAGTTTCTTTTTATACAGGGATTTACATCTGTGAAATAAATATTGAGGTAAACCCATTGTAATTGCAATAATTTATGTAATTACTTCTCCACAACCAGACCATTTTGTTCTGGGGAGCAGGTTCCTGGCTGTGTCCTCACTACCCTGCAGAGTCCCTGGCTGCCTGACAGTGTGGGCTACAATCTGCTACCACCTCTGAGGCAGTCTGCTCTCCTGTGATACTGTGTGGCATAGTCCTGGGGCAGGAAGGGGAAGAGTCCAGACTTGAGATGTCACCATTTATTTGGGTGTCATTTCCCCAGCAGTGTTGAAGAGTTCTTTCATTTCTACAACCCACTTGTACCCCTTGCACCCCAAGTCATGCCCTCCAGGAGCTTGGGATCCAGGTGAGGATAGGGCACACTCATGGCTAGTAAATAGTGCTTCCTGTGGGTTGGGTAATGTGTTAAGCACTTCACTTTTAATGACTTTAAGTAAGAATCATCACCCTTTTTCACCAAAACTGACCCATCCAGAGCCCCACAGCTGAGGGGTGCCAAGTCAGGGTTTAAGCTGTAGTCTCTCTGACTCCAAAACCCCATCCTGTATACTCTGCTTTGCTCGTTCAATATAAACCTTCCTGGGTCAAGAGGAAAGTAAATGCTGTGTACTGCTGAAGGGACCACACAGTAAGAATCTCAAGGAGACTGAGGCATCTTCAGCACTAGTCTCTACTCTAGCTCTGCCATCTTTTTACACAGTGGACACTGCTTTTACCAGTGAGAGTGCTGAAAGCACTGTTTGGCAGTGACAGATACCCTGGTTGTTCCTGTGCCACCAAATGCTCTCAGCCTCTAAGAGAGGAAACTTACAGAGCTATGGGCAGGAGACATTCCTCTCACTGGGAGCCCCTCCCACCACCCCCAGCTGCTGCCCAGTAATTGTGAGCATTTTGTGTTTCTTTGTCCTTTTCCAGGGATTTCTCCCAGAAAACAAGTTCAATCACACCCTGGCAGAGCCTGGTCTTCGGGATGCAGTCCCCCGCAGGAGGGGGAGGCGGCCTCGGAGTGAACTCCTGAAAGCTCCCACCATTGTGGCAGACTCTCCCTCTGGAATGGGGCCCCTGTTCATGAATGGGCTGATTGCAGGCATGGACCTGGTGGGATTGCAGAACATGAGAAATATGCCAGGCATCCCCCTCACGGGGCTGGTAGGTTTCCCGGCTGGCTTCACCACTATGCCTACAGGTGAAGAAGTCAAGAGCACCCTGAGCATGCTACCCATGATGCTACCAGGCATGGCCGCCGTGCCCCAGATGTTTGGTGTTGGGGGACTTCTCAACACACCCATGGCAACCACCTGCACCTCCACTGTACCAGCATCTCTCTCAAGCACAACAAAAAGTGGTACAGCAGCCACAGAAAAGACTGTGGAAGACAAGCTGAGTAGCCACGATGTAAAAACAGACACACTAGCTGAAGACAAGCCTGGTCCTAGTCCATTTTCCGATCAGTCTGAACCTGCAATAACTACTAGCAATCCTGTGGCTTTTAACCCATTTCTCATCCCAGGAGTGTCACCTGGACTCATCTATCCATCCATGTTTCTTTCCCCTGGCATGGGCATGACTGTGCCAGCCATGCAACAGGCCAGGCACTCAGAAATAGTCAGTCTGGAGAGCCAGAAGAGGAAGAAGAAGAAAGCAAAGGGGGACAACCCTAACCCCAATCCAGAGCCTGCTCTTGGATGTGAGAAGGAGCCAGGCAATGATCAGAACTGCAGTGAGTCCAGTACCCCTTTGCCCCCAGAGAGAGAACACATGGCACGGGGTGGGGAAGGGGGACTCAAAGACTCAAACAGCAACACCAATTAGAACTTTTTCATTTAAGAAATTGTTGTGACTTGTAAGTTTCTTATCCCATAAAGGTTTGTTACTTCCCTACTCCACCTTCATAAGAACCTGTGTTTCCATAAGTAATATGACCTACCTGATTTCCTGTCTGAGAACTGTGGTAACAGATGTTAATAGTTGCAGGGTCTTGCCACTTCATTAGATAAGTGTTGTCTGCCTAGTCTAGGAGGCACAGAATTCTTCTGTTATCCAGTTGTTCATTCCAGCAATCGTAGTTAATACAGTACTTGGTGACACGCCCTACCCCCTTTCCTTCCAAGTTTCTCATTTACCTGAGGAAGAAAATGGGTAAAGGAAGCTGTTTAGAAATTGACATGAAGAGCCAGAGAAGAGAGACAAAGGGAGTTCTTTTTTGGTGTGAGCTAGGTCAAATAGGAAGAATATAATAAGGAAACTACCAAAAAAGCACAGGAAAAGAAAGTGCTAGTGTATTGGGTTTGTTTTTTGTTTTTTTTAATTGTGTCCCTATTTTATGAGGTGAGTAGTATAGTCAGAAGCATATAAACTAATGGTTGAAATACATATATTGATTTCTTTATAAAAAAAACCAGGAACCTTACTGGTAGTAATATTTCCCCTTCCTGGTTTTCAGACACCCACAGAAATACTGGCTGACGAGGCACTATTTTATGAATACATATCATCCCTCTCCCCAGTGAAAAAATGACTCGATTGGAGAAAGCTTCACAAGAGTAGGGCAAGTGCTCACACTCCAGAGAGCCGCACACTGCTTCACCAGCACACAACTAGCACTCTGCTTGCACCTCGTTCTCCCAAGAACTTCCTAGCCACTAATTTGCCTCTCTGCTTTCCTTTACCAAGAATAAGGCTTTCCAGAGCCTGTGAGAAGATAATTGCTCCACTTGCTAGGCTCTGTCATCAGGGTTATTTAAGGTTGCAAACATGTGCACCACCTTTTACACTACAACTGTGAAAAGTCTTTTCCCTCTCCCCATTATTTCTCTACTCTGTTTGTATCAGTGATCAGTTTAGCAGAGACTCTGTTGCAAGCCAACAGTATTCTCTCTCCTTCCTTCGCTTCTCCACATTTAGGAACTGAGCAGGGAAGAACCTGTCCAAGCAGCACTTCAGCTTCCCATTTTCTTTCACCCTACCACTCACATCACATCCCAGCTGGTGGTCTTCTTCATGGACGGTTCACTCTTGAGACTTGAAATGAGTTTTCAGCTCAGCACTCTGGGGGCGCAGGGCTCACAGGGCCTGGAAATGTGGCAGGTGTTACTAGTACCAATTTCACTTTTTGTTGTCACGATTTACTGTATTTTTTTTTTCTGTTTCTGTTACAGTTTTGCTAATTTATCAGAAGGTCCAAAAGTTTGACATAACTTTCAGTTTGCATTATTTATTTATGATGCTTTTGTCATTGTCTTTTATACATTTGGAATTATAAATTATGTAAATGTTAAAATGAGCATCTCAAAGAAGTCTGTTAAGTCATGATTGAAAAAGTTAATAAGATGTATTTTCAATAAGTGGAGTCCCAGTTTTATGAATCACAGATATAAACTAGAAATTCTATAATTGATCCTATAAGAAGAAAGAATCCAAGAACTGAGTAAATCCTATTTAATGACATCTTTGTAGTCTAGATAGCCTATAATGCTGACAACAGATTTCTTAGAAATGCTGCTCTCTCTATTTAACTAACATTTCATTCAGTTTTGCCTCCAGTGGAAGCAGAAAGGGTTTTTTCAGCTGTTAAATCCTAAAAATCAATATAATTTATTTATGTAAAAAAAAAATCACTCAATCGATATATTTTTGAACCTTTTAAGTACTAATTTTCTTTTTATTGAGTAGAAAAAAAATGTATTTGCCCTAAATCCTTAAAATACAAATGCTATAAAAATTTCTGTATCTTGAAAGCCTTACTGCAAATGAGTATTATAGACATCAGCAGAGTCTGATTTTCTTTGTTGTCCTTGTGTTGTTGTTGTTTTGTATGGAAAAGCTGCATTCCTTAGGTTCCACTTAAACCTCCAGTAGGTCACACGGTTCAATGTGGATCTGACTTAAAACCCCACCAGCATGCACAATCCGTTGTTATATCTTATCGAACCTGTATGTTAGCTCTCGGGTGTTCAGGCTTCTGTTTGACTGCTGTTGTGACCCTGTTTGCAAAATGAAACTGACGCTCTGTGGATTATTTGCTCTGTAAGGCACAAGTGCTTCTTATGATTATTTTGACGTTTCCAAGAGCAAAAGCCAAATTTAAACTCTCTTCAGCAAACGTGAGCCTCTTCATCTAATTCCATGTCACTCACAACCATAACTTCCCCTGATCATTCTTCACCCATATCTTACATAATAAATTGTCTGTGGTCTTAATCCTGAATTTAAAAAAATGTTTAAAAGTCAGATTTGTATTTGAGGAATTCACTGGCATTTGGATGTTTCTTGCTGCCTGGGCATTTTATGAATGCATCCTATGCACATGAGGAATCCCCTATCTTAGGGGCCAAATGGTGCTAGGTGCCCTGCTAAGGACTTGCTGAATAATCATTCATGAGAGCTGACCTGACCTGTCTGTCAACCTAACAGAGCACAGGTTAAAACATGCTGTGGAAGGGAGTTGGCAGCAAGGCATCCTGCTCCCAGAACCGATTGTGTGCTTTCAGCTGATGCCTCCCCAACACCATTTCCTTAAAACCTACAACAGAAGTCCTATCTCAGAGCTCACCCCTGGGACTTCTGAGGGAACTAGATTTCTGTGGGTTGGAGCAGGCCCATAAAATACAGGAATACCCTTATAGGTGAAGTTCTCAAGGCTTTTTAAGAACTTAGTGGTCCTTTGCTTTGGGAAGCATGCCTCCTCAGTCATAGAAGAGCTGTGTGAAAAGACATCAAGAAGGCAGGAGGAGGGCTGGCAGAGTGGCTCAACTAGTAGAGTGCCTGCTGAGCAAGCATGAAACCCTGAGTTCAAACCCCAGTACTGCCAAAAAAAAAAAGCTTCTTTATAACAAGGCCAGAGGAAAAATGCTGAAGCCTCATTTAAGTCTGAGCAGGGGGCTGGGCCATGGTGGTGCATGTGATCCAAATTACTCAAGATGTGGAGGGTAGGAAGGTTGCAGTCTGAGGCCAGCTTTGGCAAAACCAAACAAGCAAAATCACTGGGACTGTGTGTCAAGTCTAGAGTGCTCTAGCAAGCAAGAGACCCTGAGTTCAATCCCCCGTACTGAAAAATAAAATATGGTAGGCCCAGCCTCACCTTGTGGAGTCCCTACCCAAGTACCAACAGATGGGTGCACAAATGGCCTGGAGAATGGATGGGGCATTGTTAGAGTAAGGCTTTAGAGTCCTCTGTTACCATTTTGAAGTAAAGTATTACAGGCTTTATAGATCTCTAATGAAGACTCAGGGAACCCTCCTCTGGATGGAGTAATAGCTTACTAATGAAGAGTCTTGGTTCATTCTTTACCTCAGCCTCTGTCCCAGTAGGTACTACCTCCTTATACAAGGGTGGAACAGCACAGTCCAGTGCACTTGATTAGTGTTTTGGTGTGTGTTTGCAATAAACTGACTTTGTTCTCTGCATAGTTGGGGCAGGGCAAAGGGAAGCTACATCTCACCTGCCTGACAAAACCATCAGAGACTGCCAAGGCTATCTTAATCACAGCAGAGCTGGGGCTAGGTCCCATGGTCCTACTAGTAGGAAAATACAGTACCCCATTCTTGGCTTTTGTCATACCAGTCTGGACCTTTGTCCCTCAAAGACTAGAACACAGTGAAGAACTAGGAAAAATGGAACACAAAAAATGTCACACGCTGTTGAAAACTTTACTACACTGAATGCCTTAATGCTGTTTCTTACAAGAATTATTTGTTCATTTGCCTGCTCTGGAAACCACAAAATTTCTTAAGTCAGAAATGAGGTTCATCAAGCCCAGTGGTTAGGATCTTGGTTCTGGTTTGGTTCTAGCCTCTGAAGTTTTTTTTTTTTTTTTTTTTCATTTTTCTTTTATTATTCATATGTGCATACAAGGCTTGGGTCATTTCTCCCCCCTGCCCCCACCCCCTCCCTTACCACCCACTCCACCCCCTCCCGCTCCCCCCCTCAATACCCAGCAGAAACTATTTTGCCCTTATCTCTAATTTTGTTGTAGAGAGAGTATAAGCAATAATAGGAAGGAACAAGGGGTTTTGCTGGTTGAGATAAGGATAGCTATACAGGGCATTGACTCACATTGATTTCCTGTGCGTGGGTGTTACCTTCTAGGTTAATTCTTTTTGATCTAACCTTTTCTCTAGTTCCTGGTCCCCTTCTCCTATTGGCCTCAGTTGCTTTAAGGTATCTGCTTTAGTTTCTCTGCATTAAGGGCAACAAATGCTAGCTAGTTTTTTAGGTGTCTTACCTATCCTCACCCCTCCCTTGTGTGCTCCCGCTTTTATCATGTGCTCATAGTCCAATCCCCTTGTTGTGTTTGCCCTTGATCTAATGTCCACATATGAGGGAGAACATACGATTTTTGGTCTTTTGAGCCAGGCTAACCTCACTCAGAATGATGTTCTCCAATTCCATCCATTTACCAGCGAATGATAACATTTCGTTCTTCTTCATTAGCCTCTGAAGTTTACAAGCTCAAGGGCAGGGCCTCAGGACTTGCTACTCGTGCTGTCTGGAGGCCCCATACTTGTAGGATACCTGCAGGATAAAATGGAAAATAGGAAAAAAGGTGAAGTAAGTATTGGCTTCTACTAGAAAGGTACTTCACAAGGTCAGTGGAAATGGAAGCATGGTGGCTGTGACAAGTTAGTGCTACCCAAACAGCTCTTGATGTCTAAGCTCTGGCTCAGCCCTAGCCAGAACCCTAGAGGACAAAGGCAGGAGCTAGACTGAGATGAAGGAGAGTGGAGCCGAAATATGGCTTCCCTGGGGGAAAAGGGAGCAGCACCCCCACCTCCTGTAAAATGAAGATAGCTATAATTTGTACCTAAAGGATTATTGGTGGGGCAGATCAATGTCAAGTGGTTGACACTATTCTTGTTCTATTGTGAGTCATTTATCTTTACTGCTTTTGAATAGCCAGTAAGTGAGGATTACCAGCCCCACTGGAAAGAGGAAAATCAAGGATCAGGAAGGAACAAAGACCAACTTTCTCCAAGTCCCAAGGCAAGAACAATGAGGATCTGGGTTGGACTCAAAAGCACTGCAGAAAAGAAGCTCCTGGCCTGACCACTCTCAGTCCCTGCCCACAGGAGAGTGGTTGCTTTCTGCATGATCCGCCTTCTGGGTGGACTGAAGGGATGAAGAAGCCATCGTGGAGCAGGGAGACACCTAGATTTGTGAAGAGGCTTCCTTTGGTTGGGGGCGGGGGCAGGCGCAGAGTTTCAGAATAACATTTTTAGTATATTCCCATGCAGTATTTGGTATATATTATACTAAAAATATATATTTTTTAATCTAGAATTAACATTAAAACCAGACAGCACATATTTTATCTGTGTGTAAGCACACACATTTGCTGGTGTCCCACGCCTGTAATCCTAGCTACTCAAAAGTTAGAGATCAGGAGGAGTGTGGTTCAAAACCAGACCAGGCAAATAGTTCTGCACGAAAGACTATCTCGAAAAACCCTTCACAAAAAAGGACCTGTGGAGTGGCTCTAGGTGTAAGCCCTGAGTTCAAACCCCAGTACCGGAAAAAAAAAAAAAATTTACAGACACTCCCTGTGATGGGTTTGTCCAAAGTGCTTGAACAATCCTCATAATCTTTGTGACATTATCCCTGTATATATGAGGAAACTGAAGCCCAGAAAGGCTGGACAATTTCACCCAAGTCATCCAGCTGGTTGGTGGTGGAGCAAGGCTTTGACAATCTAAGACTGATTCCAGATTTATAAGCTGGCCAATAGGGGAGCCAGGATGGGGGCAGGCTGACCCTCTGCACTGCTGCATCATTAGACACAGATGATGAGCAGGGATAGTGGCTGTGCTGGCCCTTTCTGGCCCCTGACTTCAGATATCATCCCTGACGCCAGCGGGAGGGCAATTGGGAAGAAGTATTGTTTTCCCATTCTTATTGTCCTGGTATTGAGTGACCTGACCTGGGGCTTAATCTAGGGACATCTTGGTATGTCTGGGCACTTGCACTCACCAGCCTGGGTCCAAGGAGCCATATATAAGCAGCATCCCACTTGGAAGTAGGAAGGAGAGGTGTTAGGGTTTGGGTAACCACTCAGGTAGAAGGGACTGCAGGAGGCAACACATCTCACCCACCCGTGCTCTGGCCATGGCTATCCTAGCCTGCACAGCTGAGCCACATACACCACTGAAGGTTGCCACACCACTGCTTGATT